TTCTGGCAACAAGACGGTCGATCTTTTAGAACAGCAAAATCAACCAGTTGCAGGATGCAAGACTGAGGACTTACCGAAAGAAAAGAGTCTTTCCTGACAAACAGCCAGAGCGGTTGTTGGGCTTTTTGTATCCGAGTTAGTAAGGTGAGTCCATTGTCCCAACGGTCGCTTGTTGTCAGGCGGGGTGAAAATATCGACTGTTCTTGAACCCTGGCGTCCACCAACGAAAATTCTCCCTCTGAATACAACCGCATCGTGACCTGAACGTGAATAAAGCATGGCAGCAGCATCCTTCCAGAAGACGTTCGATGCTTTCCGTGGCCCTTGCCAGTCTGCTGGCTCCCGGAGATGGCATGTCTCCACTGAGGAGAGAGTACACCAAGAGTTGTTTTGACTTCCGTAACCGCCCATCACAAACACGCGTCCGTCTGGCAGTGCAACCGCGGCAGCGGATCCCCTTGCCTGTCTCAGATTTGGCAGTTCATACCATCTGCAGGAGAAACAAAAAAGCTAATGAGACTGATGGTACAATTACGAAACTACAACAACATACTACCTAATTAAAATCAGTCAATATAGTCAACAGTGTGTGCTTATGGTGATCCCAGCACACTGAAAATCATTACACGATTTTATCTGCATACTATATGGATTGCAGCGTCGAGCTGGCTCAGCGGCTAGCCACTCCTCTATTCGCAGACGAGAAAACCTTTGTGGAGAATCGATGGTCAAAGTTAAAAAAAGTAGAATTCCAGAATAAGAATAAGAATTCATCGTCTGCTCACCGGAGAAAATTTGTAGATTTGCTGACGTTACAGACAGCTTGTCCGGCTGTTCTTTGTCGAAGTGAATACTGACTATATCAATCAGCAAGTTTAAAGTTGAGGCTGTGCGTGTTGGCCTTAGTGCCAAGTGAGAAACACCGTCCAATTCGCTGCCCTAAGCGTCATTGGCCGCGCACTTCGTCAAAACCAGGACTGGTTCGACGAAAATTATGCAGTCATCAGCAAATTACTCGCTGACAGGAACTACTTACACAACGCTTACATTGACCTCCCTACGGAGGCCAACGATGCCGACTTCTACCGAAGCCGTCCTGCGAGACATGCAGGATGCTTGGATGGCTCGCAAAGCCACACAAATCCACTCTTGTGTGGAATGCAATATATGGAAGAACTTCCTCGTCCCCATCAAGGCTGTTTACGGTCCTACAGTCAAACGAACTACTCCTCTTGTCAGCACCGGGGAAGAGCTGAGAGGGTACAATCCTGAAGCATTGAGCACTACCAAGGATAGTCAATCGTCCCTCCACCATCTCTGATGTCGACATTGACTGTCTCCGAATGAATGAGAAGGTTTGCGATCCAGGTAATTGTATGGACGAGGAAGAAG